CCTGAATAATTGTCTGGTTCTTGATCTTTGAATTCCTGCGAAATACCTAGACCTAGCGCTTTCTTTTACTGTCTTTAAACCGCTTTTTATTTGCTATTTTCGTTTTTTACATTACATTCAACAACCCATATTCTTGTCTTAGCTTAGTTTCATTCATTAAGGTTTTCAGTGTGACAGTTGGTCCTTGTGGATTCGATCCCTACTTTACTACAATATTTGTTGTGCACTTGCAGTAGTTCTATAGGGTTAAAACTCTGTGTATCAAGTTTTTGGCGCCGTTGCCGGGGACCAATTGTGTTGCCTACAAGTCTAGGTTTGAAGTTTAGTCTAAGACACTAACTTTCACTAACTTTTTCTTTTTGTATTTGGTTTGTTTTATAGGTGATGGCCATGGATTACAATGATTGGTCAGAAGAAGAAGATGCCACATTTGATGAATACATTGAAGATGAACCATATGTGAAGCCACCCACTTGATGAAAGTGTTCTCACAATAGAACAAAGAGTCGAGTTGGATGATCTTTACAAAGAAAATCCAACATTAACAAGGAGTGATCTAGCAATTATGATCCGATTGAACCGTATGTCACACCGAGCAACACTTGAAGGAAGGGACATGACCTACAATGAGATAGAGATAGCTCATGAACTTAGAGAGGTAATATATTGGGTTCCACCAAACCCAATACAAGGTACACCATTCTCAAACATTTGAATCTCATGATGATGACATGCCTTGCATTGAAGACATAGCTTCTAGTTTTCACACTTTCCTGCTCATTGATGAATGCTATGATTTAATATGTGAGTCTGAAAAACTAGATACTTTAAGAATAGAAAATATTGCTAGAGATTATCATGAAGTGTGCTTTGATATTAGTTATCTATGTGCTCTGAATGTTCATGATCTTGAGTTTAATCTTTCAATGCTTGAGGAATCTAAATCTCTTTTTGAAGGGGATGTGTTTGATAATGATAAGATCTTGAATGAGGTAGGGAACCCTAAGATTAATATAGATTCCAAGGAGGAGAATATTGTGTTCTACCTGATTGATGGAGATGAAGTTGACTACTTTATGATAAAACTCATTTAAACCTGAAGTTGACTTCATCTTTCCACCAAATGCATTTGATCCTCCTGAGCATCTAAACATTTACAGAAGAGTAAAATATATATGGCAACATTTGTAGTAGTCTTCCTTCGTGAGCGAGTTTTAATCTCTTTATCATGGATGATTGCTTTGCCATTTTAGCACACTTTGTTTCTTGCCAAAAACAGGAGAAGGACCAAAGGTGCACTAGCTCAGCCTTTTGATTCTCATGATTAACATATGTGCTCAAAAGTCAAGCTAATGAACTTAAAACAAAGCGCTTTCGTGGGGAGCAACCCAATGGTAAGTGTATCATATTTCGTTTCTATCTTTATTTTCTAACTTTTAGTTTTAGTTCTAAGTGATTCAAAAAAAAAAAAAATCAAAAAAAAAAAAAAAAACGCCCATAACCCACCACACTCACCTCCCTTTCAGCCATAACCAGGTAAGTTTTCCTCATCCTTACCTAGTTCTTCATACCTTACCATCCTCTTTTTGCTTTCTTCTCACTGAGCACAGTGTGATTCAAGTATGGGAGAGGATGTTCATCCTAACTAAACACGATTTTTCTATGTTTGTCTTCTCTTGAGTCAGTCCCTAGATGTTTTATTGAATCAAATTTATGTTGAATGTCATGAATTTTTCTTTTAAACTAACTACTTCACATTGACATTTGAAGGACCATTTGCTACAAGCAGTTAGCAGTATTCTGCTAAGTAGAACGCTAAGAGTGGATCATCATAACAGAGAAAGTTCATGTTTCTGTGGAGATCGGAAGGATCCAACGTTGACTCCGCCCTAACCTGATTCCAATGAATTTCGAAATTCTAATTTTGCACGAAACTATACAACGCCGATACGTCCGAAGTTTGGCTATAGTTTGAGTACTTCCCATCACGATTGGATCGACGCTGAATTTTGGACTCCAGCTGTTTATCATTGAGTTTAGTTTCCATGTGGAAGTGGTTTGAAGTCATCCACGGTGGGCGATCAACCAGTTATGCCAGTTTTTAGTGAAAGCACAGTCCTAGTCTAGCACGCGCGAGTAATGGGCTCGAAGAACTTCCCGAGAGAAATTAGATCGATCGTCACTAGATTTGGATCGACTCGATCCGCAAGTGTCCAAAAAATTACCCCGAAGACATTTTTAGATCGATCGGTGGATCGATCACGATTCCGAGAGGCTTATGCATTTCCCGAGATGGATTTAGATCGATCGTTATCCAAGTCCGGATCGATCGTTCAGGTGTACTTATCCCGCCTGGTTTTGGATCGCCGCAAAAAAATAATGAAAACTCGGGGTTTTTCCTATTCCAACTTGGTTTTCGAGAATTTCTCCACCCAATTCCGTTCCTTTTTTATTTCTTAATTAAAATTAAAACCTATAAATATTGTTTCTCAGCCATGTTTAGGCAACCCTCTCTTTTACATTCATACTTTTAGGTTTGTGCTTTGTAAGCCTTGGGGAGATAGAATCTCTACATCTTTAAGAAGATTTATATGAACCCCTTTGGATTTCTTTTTTAATTGATTATGAATTTTCTCATCTTCTCTGCTGTTTCCCGGCTTCCTATGTCTGAGTAGTTTATGGTAGGTTAGGGCTTTCAAAGGTAGTTCATGAAACTCAAGGAACTACACATAAATAAGTTATGTCATCAGCTGCTTCACCTATTGTTGTTCCATGCTTAGATTAATTTTGATCACGAATCTTGATTTAGGGTTTTAATCTGTTCATAAAAGTGTTTTAGATGCTTGATAGAACATAGGTGAGCAGATTGTCCTTAGCCAACGAAAGCTGATGTTAAGGCAATCTGTGAACAAATCGAACCTGTTCATTAATGCTTGTTTAGAATTTTAAGTTCAAACGAAAGTTTAGATACTTAGGTTGCTAGAAAATGTCTTTGATGCCATAAAAGTGGATTAATTATACATTTTTGTTTGAGTTCTAGATTGTTCTATAATCTGTCCTGAATTAATTGTCTGGTTCTTGATCTTTGAATTCCTGCGAAATACATAGTCTAGCGCTTTCTTTTACTGTCTTTTAAACCGCTTTTATTTGCTATTTTCGTTTTTACATTACATTCAACAACCCATATTCGTGTCTTAGCTTAGTTTCATTCATTAAGGTTTTCAGTGTGACAGTTGGTCCTTGTGGATTCGATCCCTACTTTACTACAATATTTGTTGTGCACTTGCAGTAGTTCTATAGGGTTAAAACTCTGTGTATCAAGTTTTTGGCGCGTTGCCGGGGACCAATTGTGTTGCCTACAAGT